TTCTTTGAACTTTTCTTTGCTTGTCTTATCGTATTTTTGTTTTATTACGGTTACGTAATTATATTACGATTAGGCGAAACAATACTAATGTTCTCACAAAATTTTGTGAATTCTTAAAAAATTTAATTCAAACTGACATCATGAATTAATGAGTTATAGCTTACCGAGTAGCTCTGGTTCAGTAGCATCAATGCATATTGAACTTTGAACAAACCAAATTGGCGAAGACAGGAAATATACAATTAAAGATTGTTTTCAAAGTATCCTTATTTAATATTTCTTCACTTTTGGAATCAATTTTAATAATATAATGTCGATAGATGATTTTGAAGAGCAACTGTAAATAAATTTCCTTTGAACATAATTTAGAAAACAAATGAAATTTATTTGTTTCATTTTTAGAAACATAAATGCTTAACAAGATTTGCTTTTTTTATATATGATCTATTTTTGAACTTTTCATATTAGAAAAAGCATCGAAATAGAATATTTCACTTTTAAACAAATGTTCAGCTATATTATATTGGATATTAAAAACGCCAAGTCCATATCAATTCGAAAAATCAGCAACAAAATCGATCGAGTATTGGATTAATCAGTGGATAAATATCGTCTCATTAACATAAAATCACCTTGTAATTTTATCAAGTCACACATTAACATCCATTAAAGAATAAATTACTTCACTATTATTCAATTTATTGAAAATCAATAAAAATATCCATCAGATAAATCGACAAGTTCAACACAGATATTTTGCAATGTCATCTTTCACCATTAATTTTCTTAGATGTGTTATCCTCTATGTTGTTATATAATATATTTGTCACTATCCAATATTGGATTTAGTTCAATCTCAGATTATCATTCTAGACTAGTCGAATGTCGGATCGTGAAGAAAAGTTTCGTTGAAAACCTTCATCAACCTCAAAATCTATGCTGGATTTGAATTCTTTTTTTTGAATACTGAATTGGAAAGATACTAGCTGGGTTCTCCTGAGTAATGTCGAAAATAGAAGTGTCGAAATGTAAAAATGGGCAGTAGATACTATAAGAAGATATTCGAGCCACAATGACGTCACATTGAACAAATACTCTTTATAGTCGATATGCAAATAAAATCTTCTCACGGATTCATCATATGTTTTTCTGGAACAAGAATAAATAAATAAAATAAAAACTCACCAGTTTAATACTAAGTTGATTTATCTATACCTATCTATTTTATTTCACTAGTGTACCATTTCCTTTCTTCTAAACTATGATTTATACATTTCTAAAACTAAAATAAAGTCTAGGCTAATAGCACAACTACAATATATTTTCTCTTGCTATGTTTTCGCATCTAATTTCGACATATTTATATTTTTGGATATTGATTGGAGGTAAAAAAACAGACCGAAAGAGTTAATATTAATACACTCACTGAAAAGTTTAAATTTGAATTTGAATGAGGTTGCGTATGATGGCGAGTGCAAATTTAAGCCTTCTGCTCACCCTCAACGACAGATCATTGTCCACAATCGCGTTCACACTAGATGACGTCGAGTAGCTGCCTATAATTCAAGTTCAAAAATAAATGAAAATGACAAAAAATTTCATCGGCATCTTCTCAGTTAAAGCCAAAAATCTGTTCATTAAAAAGTTCTCTAACCAAACTGTTCACGACGAATAACTGTCTGTGTTTGGTATTAGAAAAGAGAATGTTCTGAGATTCATTTTTCTTTGGTCGACAAATTCCCCCTAGTTTCCCTCCGAAAACACAGAAAATTATCCGTCGTGAATATTGTGTGTTTAGAGAACTTCTATATGAACAGAATATAATACGAGAAGAAATATTCAGTTCAATTTTTACTATAAAAACCTTTCGTAAAGATGAAATTAAGCATCAAAATATTGACCTAAACGAGTATTTTCACTTTTTTATTATTTGACTTGATTGGAAGAAAAAAGTTCAATAGGTTAATATGTCATTTTATCTATCTATCGATTCTTCGAACAATATAATTGGAAGCTTTTTTCTCTAGAAATGCATAAATAAACATAAGCAAAAAGTCATTTTATTGTATTGTCTAATTTGTTTGTTTTTTTATTTTCGACTATTCCAGTGACTAATGATAGCTATCGACGAATGATATTTATTGTGATCGTGATCATACACTAAAGTCAACAGAGAAATGTTAACTTTATTGTCATAGTAGATAGGTTGATTTAGATAACGATCTATAAATGAGAATTTTTCGAAGAGCAAAACCGAATAACTCGTAAACAAAAATGAAAATATATTTCAAAGATCTATTGAGTATGGCACGTCGATTATATTTGTTATCATATTAATTAAAAAATGAAGCAATACTTGGAAATATTATTAAGAATTTTAAAATAAAAACTATAAAAACAAATACAACTTTTCATTGATTTGAAAATAGTATTTAATTCATTTTTTAAAATCAAACATTTTATGAAGGACATATTTATTTGATGAATATCCTTGATGAAAAGTATATACTAATGTATGCAAAACAAGAGAATATTTATTATTTTACTTCTTCTTAATCGTTTAATAGATGATCGAGATTGTCTTAATTATTATTTTATTCCTATAAAAATATTATATTAAAAATGAAAAAACAAAATTTAATTCTATTAAGATAAAACGGAAAATTGTTAAAATGATATTTTATAAATATCAGTTTAGATCAATTTTTACATTCTGATTATTGAAATTTTCTAATAAAAATATACATTGATAAAATGTTTTCTTTCTATTCAATTATTTCTTTTGAATAAATCTAAACAAAATTCGAATTAAATTTAATTTCAAAAAAATTCAATTCTATTTTATAATATCTCTATTAACGAACATTTTGTTATTGCTACCAAAACTAAATCTTTTTTTTCTATTTAATAAAATAAAATGTTTCTTATAGAATAATAATAATTATCATATGAATAGAAGAAATTCGATATATTTTTATTTTTTTATTTTTAAATAAAATTAAGTGACATCTCGTTGAATTGTTATTCTTGAAATGTAAGTTAAAATTTCAATGTATAAAAATCGAGCGTTGATCTATCTAGTCATATAATAAAACTATTTTAAGATTAACAATTAACTTTCTCTTTCATTGATTAGACGAAAAGGAAAAGAGAAAAAAACACAACTTGTCTTAACGAAGGTTTTTCTCTCATGCTTGTTCTCTGATGTTGTCGATGGTGCAATCGAGCAAATGAGTTGCTGTCTCGCTCGATGCTGCTGTTGCTGTCCGTGTTGACAAACAATTTCTCTGTCGTTTCTCGTCTCTCTTCATCATCGCCGTCGTCGTCATCGTAATCAATGTATTGCAAATTATATTAGGTGGTGCCCGTGCCTTTTTCTTTTTTTTATCCGTGCATCCATTTCTTTTTCTGACATACAGAACAGAACTAGTGAGTGACCCATTAGAGTAAGTTTCTCGTTTTTCTTATTGCGATAACGTTGTCTTTCACGATTCACTCATCGATCGTCAACAAAGAAAAAAAAAGAGAAGAAGAACAAGAAGACGAATAATTTAATCGGCTTCCATCGATTTCTAATTAGACAATAGTAGAGAAGATAGGCTTTTTTCTCGTTGATGCGACGAACTCGTTTCTTTCTTTTTTTTATATTTGATGAAAAAGAAAAAAGTCTAAGTTATGTTGATCATTCGAAGTATAAATTCTCTGTTAAGTGTCTCGTGTTACATGATTAAACTGGTCGGTGCGCCGTTCGTTATTCAACCATCGTTTTGGTTTAATGAAATGACCAGCACGCCCTGAATATGAGAGAGAGAGAGAGAAAGAAAAATAGTTGAGTTTAATGGAGCGACACGGCATGATTGAATAAAATCGAACGTATGAGTCGTCAAACGAACGACTATACACATACACACAGACGACCGTCGATTATAAATTGTCAATGATCTCTCTTTCTCTCTTCTCTTCTATGCTCCACCATCTTCTGTACTTCACCGGCAACAAGCACACAGAGTCATAATGACTATCGGGCAGAGAAGAGAGAGAGAGCAAGGAAATTTTTGCGTTCTTTCTCTCTCGTCGCTATTCACTTGATTAGGTAATCATAGATAGAGACAAAGCTCGATGTTGTGTTTTTTTCTCCTTTTCTTTCTTTTTTCTGTGTGTGTATGTCTCAACACCATCGATCCAAATGAGAATGAGGTGGTTCGACTGTAATAACGAAAGGTACATATGAAGAAGTATTCGAATGAGTTGAGAGTATACTATGTTTTTAATCATTCTTGTTCTGGTGGTCCCGAACCGAACAGTGTCGAGGGGCAAGCAGTCGTCAACAAACGGAACTCTCTTTTTTTCTAATCACATTCATCGTCCTTATTCATTAAATTATACTCTCGGTTCTTTCTAGGAAAAAGAAGAAGAAGAAGAAGAAGAAGAAGGCAGAGAAAAAGCCAGTAGTAAAAGCAGCAGCCAGCAATTAGGCAACAACAAGTCTCTCTCTCTCTCTCTGTTCTGTGTTGCTGCTGTGTGATTTGATTTGAGCAGCATGGTTGCCTGCCTGAGCTCAATGCAATAATCATTCTCGCTGTTGCTGTCGTCTCTCGCTCGTTAGCGCACTCGGCTGCGTGAGCAGCCGCTATTGGATTTGCAAGTGCGCGCCGCGCCGTCATTCTTTTGTTGTGCTACTCGTTTCTTTTTTATCTTTTCGCTCGTTCGCTCTGGATTCGAATAAGAATAGTGGAAGCAAAAGAACAGAACTGTAACCATCACTGTACGATATAACACTTTTCTCTTCTTTTCTCAATTCATTCGTTTTTTGACATCGATGACCTCATTACAAATTGATATTTAACAAAAAAAATAAAAATCATTTCGAAAGTTTTAATTTTAATATCTATTGAAATAATTTTACATTCTATGGGTTTAATTAAATTTTATTTGAAGAGATAAATAAAAATCATGCTTGATCGTTGACCCTTTATTAAATAAGTATTATAGATGATGTTATGAGTGAACCACCATCATCATCAATAATAACAACATCAACAACGAACAACAGCCTTAATGAAGTAAATTTTCGATTATTTTAATATTAATCACTTTAAATAACGGCGAATTTTAGTTGATGGCTGTGGCTGAACAATGTTTATCACCTGATAATCGATCTTTAAATATTCACTCTCGAAATTCATCTAAAACATTGAAATGTCCAAAATGTAAGAATATTATTTACAATTTAGTTTCGTTCTATTTATTCTGAGATCAATCTCTTCTCAAGGTAATTGGCATTATAAATATCAAGAAACATTGGAAATTCATATGAAAGAAAAACATCAAATAGGGACAAATTCCGATGGAAATATAAATAATTCAAATGAAAATGAAACAAATTGTTCATATTGTTTATCAAATAGTGTTCATCCACGTCTTGCTCGTGGTGAACAATATCCATGTGGATTTAAACCATACAGATGTGATTTATGTCTTTATTCAACAACAACTAAAGGAAATTTAGCAATACATATGCAATCAGATAAACATATGAATAATTGTCGAGATTTATCTTCACCATGTCTTCAGCAACAACAACAACAACAACAACAAATATCATTTACATCTTCACCTGAAAATTCTTCACTTGATCAAACATCTCAATCACAAGGTTTGAATTTTATCTTAATTTTAACCTTACTGTAATATTTTCTTTTCGATTAATATGATAACGACTAATCACGAGAAGTTTATTTTATTCTTTTCTATTTCGATCATAATTTTCTCTAAACGATCGATTTAATAGAATTTATTTATTAAAAAAAAAAAATAAAGATTGATCAATTTTACTAATAATAAAATGATAAAAATATTTCGATATATAATTTTGAAATTTCATTCAATTCAGAGATTTTTTTCATGATACAATGAATAGCTAAATGAATTTAATCGATTGTTTCAAACCGGAATGAAAAAGAAAATAGAAAATTTTTCATTTTTCTTTATTTATGTTTTGCTGAATGAGTAGTATTAAAAAGTAAAAGTCAATAAATTCCTTTATTTTCTATTTTAAATAATTTAAAAAGACGAATTTGATAAATTAACTTTTCGTATAAAAATAAGTTTATTAAATAAAGAAACAAAAATATTTCGAGAAAGAAAAAGAAAAGAAAAGAAAAGAAAAGAAAAGAAGAAAAAAAAAAGAAAATGTATGATTTATTTTCTTTGTCTTAGTTGTTGCTTGTCATTAATCGTGTTTGGTCGCGTTAATATAAAAATCTGTTACATCTATTTGTGTCTTCTATCGGTGAATGTGAAAGATGTGAATAGTCGTCGTTCTCTTTTCTTGAGAATCAAGCACAGACACTTTCTCTGTTATAGGTCGCTTATTAGCGGATGGTTATGCTTCAGATCGAAAGCGATATTCGCATTGAGTGTCGATGCCAGTTTATATGTTAAGAAAGAAAAAAAGAAGAACGAAATCCATTAGGAATGAGGCGACAGCCGTCGAGAAAAAGAGAACAGAGAAGAAATAATTTATGTAACAATCTCTCTTTCTCTCTATTCTGCCTAATCGTCGTCATCGTCGTCGTCGTCTTCGTCGTCGTCTTCGTCTTCGTCTTCGTCTTCATCATCGTCGTCGTCGAGCTGCCGCTCATTATGGGTAATTGGCAATCAACGGTCTCCTTTTCCTCTATCCAAACGAGATTCCAAGACATTGCATCTTTTCTTCTCTTTTTCTCTCGTTTTTTTCTCTTAGTATCATAGAACTGACTTGTTACCAGTCGACTCTCTCCCTCTCTCTCCCTCTCTCTCTCTCTCTCTATTTAGATGGCTCGATCGTTAGTTAGTTAATATACATGTTGGGTGTAATGCAAAAGATAGAACACACATACACATACATACATATATTTATATATATATATATATATATATATATATATAAAGAGAGAGAGAGACATTCATTGATTACTTTTAGTTAGGGCGATTATTTAAATAAAAGTATTGATATTATTTTAATTTTAGAACTAAAAATGGCAAACGAATGTTCATCTATTGAAAGTTATTCATGTCCACTTTGTCCTCAAGCTAATTTCAATACGATGGTATTCGATTTGATTTATTCTTTTAAATAAAATAGTTTCGTATTTATTTTTATTTTTTATAGGAATCATTGAAAGAACATTTATGTTCAATGCATAACTGTAGCCGAGATGCTTTGAATCGATGTTTATCATTGATCGGAGATTCAGGTATTGATTTATTCGTAAAAGACATATTTTATTTCATTGATTGTAAAGAATTTTTATATTAGAAAAAAAATCGTTATTTTTTTAATTGAGAAAACTACGAAAATTATTCTTTAACGTGTTATCTTTAGAAATTATTTTATTTGAGATGACAACAAGTAAAAACAGAAATTAAGTTTAACTTAAAATTTTACTATAATTATTGGAAGAAAAATGAAAAATGATTTTTTTCTCTAGTAAAAAATATTTTTGATATATTGAACAAAAAGAAAATGAAAGTGAAGTCTTAAATGAATAAAACCTATAAAATAAAACTTTTGGTTGATTTGAATAAAAAGAAAATGTGTTGTAAAGGTTTGATAGTTTGTAATGTCTACCTTTAATTAACGTATGAATTGTATAGAGTAGAGAAAAGAAAAGAAAAAAACGAAGAAAAGAAAAGAGAGGTCAGCGAAGAAGGAGATGAGGAGGAGAAAATAAATTAGGTTGATGATCTCTATCCAATGGTGAACCAACAAATGAAGAATGAAAAAAAGAAAAAAAACGAAGTGAGCGAACAATTACTAATTTCATTTATATGTTATTGGTCGTCGTTGTCGTTGTCGTCGTCGATGAGGGTTCGATGTCATCAACATTTTATTCTGTTCGAAGTGGTGATGGTGGTGGCCTCACAGACAACGCAAAATACCCGAGATTACCCCCTTTGCGTTCTCTTTCTTAATGAATGAAAAGAAAAAAAAACGAGAGAAAAAGACGACGATGAAAGCAACCACATTCATTCGCCTTCATTAGACAAACTTATTGACTTGTTTCCCTTCTTCTCTGTCTCTCTCTCTCTCTCTGTCTCTCTGTCTCTCTGTCTCTCTCTCTCGCTTTCCGTTTTGTTCTAAACATCAAAATTACACTTTGCTTTTTTTTCAATGATTTACTTTTTTTTTACATAATAACATAAAAAAGAAACCGGTGTTGATAAGCAAAGTTGATTAGAGTATAAAAGCGCCCTCTTTTTTTCATTTATTTAGTTCGAGAAAGAATCAACTATTTAAATAGATACGTCGTTACAGTTTTAGTTTTCATTTCTAAAAATGTTTAATCTTGTAAACAAAAGAAATAAAATTTGTTTTATTATTTTTATTTCAAAATAAAAGTTTTGTTCTCTTAAGGATTTTCATCAATGGCAGAAGCAAACTCTTCGGATGAATATCGTTGTCATTCTTGTCATAATAAAAATTTTAAAGATTTTTATCATTTGTTAAATCATTTTCAAGATGAAAGTAAGTTTTCTTCTATTTTTGTATCATTCGAACTAAACTAAACTAAATTAAATTAAACTAAAGGTCATATTGATGAAGAAACAAAATCCGTTGGTTTATTATGTTGGAAAAAAGGATGTAATCAATATTTTAATTCGTTATTAAACCTTGAAAAACATTTTCGTGAAATTCATTCAATTAATTTAAATGATAAAAATTCTTCTCAATCATCATTATCATCAACATCATCTATAAAAGAAATCAAAGATAATAAAGACAATAAAGATATAAAAGATATAAAAGAAAATTATTTTGAAAATAAAACAAATTCATCAAATGGACCACCAATGAACTTTTTATCGAAAACTCGTGAAAGATTAATATCCATAGGTGAAGATATCGCTTTACATTATTTAGAAAATCTATCGAATTCAAATTCAAATTCAAATTCAAATACAAACACGAAATATTCAAATGAAATTATTTGTGATTTATGTTTAAAAAAGTTTTCAAGTTTATCAAGATTAAAAGTTCATTATGAAGATATACATTCAATAGTTCTTTCATCTCGTGCTATACAACATTGGATATTTTTATTAGAAAAACTTCATTCATCATCTTCTTGTTCAACACTAAATTCCAATACGACTAAATTAAAACGACAATCATCATCATTAAATGATTTAAATCAAATAAAGAAATCTCGTTCAAATTCGAATTCAAATTTAAATGAAACAACAAATCTTTCATCATCATCGTCGTCATCTTGTTTTATTTATTCGAATTGTTCAAATTCAACATTAGTTAATAATCCGTATGATTTAACACAAAATAAACGTCAAAGAACACGTATTAGTGACGAACAATTAAAAATTTTACGTTCATATTTTAATATAAATAATTCTCCTAGTGATGAACAAATATTATTAATGTCAGACAAAAGTCAATTAACAACAAAAGTAATTAAACATTGGTTTCGAAATACTTTATTTAAAGAAAGACAAAAAAATAAAGATTCACCATATAATTTTTCTAATCCACCATTACAAACAAATAAAATTGATTTAGATGAATATCAAAAAACTGGAATTATTATTAAAAAAAATTTTAACGATTCCGATTATTCTGATAATGATTTAACATCAAATGATGAACAAGATCTTCTTCTTTCAGATGAAGATTTTTATGATTATAATAATAAATTATCGAATAATTCTATACATTCATCTTCAAATCAACAACTAAATTCACAACAACAGCAACAACAACTAAATCCACAACAATCACAACTAAATCATCAACAACAACAACAACAACAACAACAACAGCTAAATCAACAGCAAATGAAAAATCATCAACAATCATCAAGACGAGCTAATAGAACACGTTTTAGTGATGAACAACTTCGTCTTCTTCAAGATGCATTTGAATCAAATCCTTATCCAAAAGATGATGATTTAGAAGTTCTTTCCGAAAAATTAAAATTAAATTCTCGTGTTATTGTTGTTTGGTTTCAAAATGCTCGACAAAAAGCAAGAAAATCTTATGAAAATAATTCTCCAAATGAAAATAATCAACAAATATTATTTAAACAAGATAAAGATGATGGATATTCATGTAAAAATTGTCATAAATTATTTCAACGTTTTGCTGAATTAATGAAACATGCTAAACAATGTTCATCACCTTGTTTAGCAGCAAAAAAGAATTCAAATAAAGATTTAATTGAAGATAATTCAAATTCATTATTAAATCGTTCATCATCGTCATCTTATGATATGTTAATTAAAAATAGTCTTCCATTATCGTCAACAGTTGTAACTAATTCATTAAATAAAAAAGATAATTATTGTGAACAATGTGACAAATATTTTAATACAATAAATGAATTTAATGAACATCAAACATTCCATATGCAAGCATTTCTTAATGCTGCAACACTTTTTCCACTTGCCGCTTATCATCCAGCTGCAGCGGCCGCTGCTGCTGCTGCAGCCATGGCAGCTTTTTCGTCACAATTATTTCAAAATAATCAAAACTTTGTAAGTTATTTATTTCAAAAATTTAAAAATTCAAAATTCAATGTGTTTCTGTTGTTTTTCTTCGTCAGCCAATGGTTGGATTAGATCTAAATAATTCAAATTCAATTAATAAAAAGCCTAGTCGAAGTTTATCATCATTTGGATCTGATTCATCAAATGACATTGAAGAAAATGAAGGCATAGAAGGTAATGAAATCGATGCTGAAGAACATGATGATGATGATGATGATATTAATGGTGAAGATTCTAATGATGAAAATAAAAAAAATTCTTCATCACAAAAACGAAATCGAACAACAATATTACCTGAACAACAAGATTACCTAATGTCAAAATATTCTATTGAATCCAATCCGTCGAGAAAAATGTTAGAAGATATATCGGAAGAAGTTAAATTGAAAAAACGTGTTGTACAAGTTTGGTTTCAAAATACTCGAGCACGAGAAAGAAAAGGAAATATAAAAATTGATTTCAATTCAAATTCAAATTCAAATTCAAATATTAATTCGAATGATATTAATAATATAATTATTAATAAAAAATGTCTTCATTGTTCTTTAACATTTAAATTAAAATCAACACTTGAAAATCATTTACTATTAAAACACAATGATTTATATAAAAAAAAAGAAGATTTATTATTAATTGATTATGATTTATTTCCTAATGGATTTAATTCGAGTGATGATCTTCCACTTGACTTATCAAAATCATCTTTAAAAAATGATTTCAATGAAAATAAATTTGAGAATGATAATTTTTTAAATGAATCGAATGATTCAAGTAATCAATCAATTGATGATCAAAATTTCTTGTTAAAACATAATAAACATTTATTAAATGGACATTTATCACCAAACAATTGTCAACAGTCATTGAATAATTCTTTAAATGGACAAAGAAGATTTCGAACGCAGATGACGCCATTACAAATAAAATTAATGAAAGCTATTTTTCTTGAATATCGAACACCGACAATGTATTTATTTATAAATTAATTAAATATCTTGATTTATTTACTTATTATTTGCTTTTATTTTTCGTAGGCCTGAATGTGAATTATTAGGAAAAGAAATTCAATTGCAAAAACGTGTTGTACAAGTTTGGTTTCAAAATGCTCGAGCAAAAGAAAAGAAAAATCCAAATTTTTTTAAATCCGATCTTCCAGATGAATTTCAATCAACGAATGATCAATGTAAATTATGTCAATGCAAATATACATTACAAAATCCTCAAAGGGTTTGTTTTTATTTAATTAAACTTTTCTTTTCAAAAAAACAAAAACAAAAACAAAAACTAAAAAGCATTTCTCTCTTAGGATCATTTATTTACAACAAAACATATTGAAAATATTCGTTCAATTTTATCGAAACAAATTGGAAATATTTCAACAACATCAACATCAATAACAACAACAACAAATACAACGACAACAGCTACAAATAAAGATGATTTTATAAAAAAGAACAGTATAAATATTAAATTAGATATTGAAAATAATTCAAATCAATCAGTATTAGATAATTCATCGAAAGATGAACAAAACCAACTAATGTCTTATATTAATTTAATGCATCTTATGCCTATTGGTAAGTTTATTTAGTTGAAATAAAAAAGAAATTAAAGTTTCCATTTAAAAAAAACACAAAAGGTATTGATCCATATAATTATGGTTTAATGGATCCGAATATCCATGGAACGCCATTATTTATGTTACAATTACCTGAAGAAGCTTTAAAGAAAATTCTTTCATTAAGTAAATCCGATGCTCATTTAACACGTGCTCAATATACTCAAGATGGAAAAAATCTTCAAGATTTATTTGATCATTCTTATTCATCAATTGATTATCAAACTGTTGATGTTGGTTATGTTTGTAAAAGATGTTATCTTGTTTGTAAGTAGTTTCAGTTTTTTAATTTAGCTTTTGAAAAACTAAAATTAACCCTCGATAATTATATTTTTGCTATTTTTCATTAGCAAACAAACGAAATGAATTATTCTTTAAAACTGTTTTCATTTGATCATTAGGACTGAAAAGAAAAATTCTTTTGTTCGTTTTTAGACTTTTTGTTTTGTACGTTACTTTTATTTAATTGATCAAAAAAAAATTTTACGTTCTAATGAAAATTTTATTGAATCATTAAATAAATAACGAGCGTTTAAAAGAAAATTGAACTTATGAAATTTCTATATTAAATTACGAGTTGTTTTTTCTTCATTATGTCAATTTCTTTCTGCTAAGCAAAGATTAAAAAAATATTTCATTTGAAATCAATATTCGTAAATGTCTTCATTAGAAACAAAAAGAAAAAAGAAATCCTGGATAAATTAAACAAAAATGAGTAAAAGTAAAATTTTTCTTTCTTTTCGTTTATTATGATCAAATTCAAAGAATAGTTTCAAACAAGAAATCAGTTTATTTGTTTGTTCGTCAATCATAAAACAAAAAGAAGGCAAAAAAGAAAATAAAACAATGAAAAGAAGATATTCGTTTTGTTTTGTATTTACTGATATTAATATAAATATATATGTACATGTATATTTAGGGCCATTATATGAATCATGTCGATGTCATGCATTAGTTTGTTGGCAAATATGTGGATCAACCTTACCTGTTTCTATAAAATCATCTGAAGATTTAAATGATTTATCAGGATATATATTTAAAATCGAACAATTAACATATCGATGTTTATTATGTAAAACATCATGTTCAACAACAATTGAATATGAGAAGCATACAAAAGATGATATTCATTTGAAAAAAAAACTTTCAAATTCAACTATACAAGAGAATGATTCATATTAAACAAAAAAAAAAAACATGTTCGGCATCGTGCTTTTAGCATTCCTCCATTTATCGTCTCTTTTTTTTCTTTTTTTTTTGTATTTGTTTTTGTGTCTGTGCGTAGCGTTCTCGCTCGCTTCCATTATCAACTAATTGAGTAGAAACCACTCGAAACATTTATTTCTTTTTAATATTATTCGAAAAAAAACAAGACAATATCACCAATTAGTTCGTTTCGATGATGATAATTTTTATAAAATTTTTCCTTTCCGGATATATTTAAATTAATGTTTCCCCATTGTAAATTATTCGATTTGATGAAAAAGAAAAAAATTGATTGTAGTTCATTTATGAAAGAAAAAGAAACACAAATAATATTGATTATTGTTAAGATAAGAATTTCTTGTCATTTGAAATATTCACAAAAAGACTCTTTGAATAGATTCGATAAAAAAAACACAGCGTCGTATAGATTATTAACAAATAGAAATTGATTCTGTTTTTATATTCTTCTTTTATTATTATGATTGGCTATTAAGATAAATAAAACTAATATTTAAATTATTATTGAATGATCAAAAAAGAATTTGATTTTGTCAAACATGTAGAATGAAATATTAATTCGAATGCTATAGAGAACTATTTTATATAGAGAAACAAAAGTAACACATTTTTATAAGCGCTACTCTTTTTAAAATGAGAAAAATTGAATTTTTCTACCGACATTGACTTCAACAGTGGTTAATAAGAAAAAAATGCTTGTAATTCGTCAATGAATAACGGATATTGATTTAAAAAAAAAACAATTAAAAGTTTATTTAACCTGAATAGAAGAATATGATAAAGTGCTGGACACAAATGGTTAACTATATAAAATTAAAATACGGTCTCAACAATTTGATGGCAAACTAAATAAAAGATGAAAATTCATCGAGATATTTTCTTTCAATCAAATTATAATGTCATACATAGAAAATAGGGAACTTCGAATGAATTCAGGTTTCAATTTGAGATCATATTTCAAAGTAATCACAGTCAAAGACAATGAGGATAGATAAAAAAATATAATTCGTTTTATTTATTGATTTTCACATAACAACAATCAATTTGTTGATTCGAATTCAAGTAGCCCAATCATTGATCCAACATCTATGCGTCAAGCGTCTTCTATTTCAGTTAGACAACATAGGAAATTATCTACCAGTGGTGAAACCAGTTCGGCTCGGTTTGAAGTCTTCGAAACCGATTTATTATAGTTTCAATAAATAAATTATTTTTGCTTATGAAAATCTAAAGCAAAGGAAATACTTGTCCATATTCATATTAAAATCAGATATCCCCAACAACAGCGATATATGTATATATATATAGGTATTAGAGAGCAGCGGGTCCAGACTAGTGCACTGCACAGGAGTCGGAATCAGAATTTAAAAAAGGTTTTTTTTGGAGTCGGACTTGGAATCGGAATCGTGAAAAAATGTTTTCCGGAGTCGGAGTCGGAGTCGGAGTCGGAGTAAAAAATGGCACCGGACTCCGAAATTCGATTTCTACTCTGACGAAGTTGAAATAGTGAAGTTAAAATAAATTTTTTGTGAGTTAATGTTTGAGCTATATTACTACAAAAATTACATCATCTGACTTTCACTTAGATACAAGTTTATTCATGCGTATATTGTATAATGAACAAAGATGTGCTAATTTTAACTTCATAAATAAATCTTAAGCAAAAATAATGGCACAAGAAAAATATTTACATAAACCATTAGTATAAAGAAAAAATAAAATAGACTAATTAAGAATGTTCTCTTTATTAGAATCATTGAAACTATCGTCAACATCGAGACATAATTGTTTAGGATCTGTGCAGGCTGATTCTTCAGAAAATACCGTTGTAGATGACATTGATGCTATTCGTTCCTTATTCTCAGGTCAAAAAATCAGACATAGATCTTACAAGATCATATAAGATCAGAGATATGATCGTAGAGGATCTTATTGTCTTATTGTTTGACCTGGGTTGATTCGTTTACTTATATATCCTTTCAGAATATCAAACATTTGATATGAATTAGATGTAACTAAGCTGCAAAAAAAGTCGGATTTTTCCGGAGTCGGAATCGGATTCCAGAAAAATTTCCCGCCGGAGTTGGAAGCGGAATCGAAAAATTTTTTTTTCGGAATTGGGTCGGGTTTAGGAATCAAAAAGTGCGACTCCGCTGATCTCTAGTCCAGACCCATTAAATATTTCTTCAATATTTAGCATCCTCAGTGTAGAGGAATGACTTCTAACTATAAACTTATAAATAGCCTAAACATTTTGAAACAGAATACAGAAAATATTATGCGTTAACCTGAACTGTTCTATGGTTAGATTCGTATCTGAATGCAAACTGAGTCTGAAAGTAAATCATGTATGAACCCAGATCCGGACTCGTTGTTCTCTAATAGGTGTATAGAGATAAGTGATTCTGGTATCTGCTGTGTTGCTTGGGTACTAAAGATAATCTTGTTGATTCTTCAGTTTCCTTTGAGTCTAAATTCTTAGAGTTAATATCAAAATTTTTATAAATCATATACTATATGTGCTACTAAAATAAAGTTTTTATCTATTATTGTTTTCTATCAGGATAGAAAATTAACCGTAAATTTTGCTTCGTTTTCTGTGTTCATAATGACTAGGAACGAATTTTTTCTATTTTCGTCCTTTTCTTGATAGAAAATAATAAAATAATAAATCCTAAATCAGTTTTCTTTAATAGAATTTTGGATGCTGTTTCTACTATAGTAGTAACTTTATTTTGAATTCAACTATCTTCTTTTCATCAGAGATTCAATTATTCTAGCAATGATTCCAGAAAGTTCTAAATTCGACCCAACTGTAAAGGTAGTAAAAATTAGAGTCTAGATTTCTGTTATATAAAAAAGAATTCATCAATCTAAGCTTTATTAATTGCTGAAAGGTGCAATTTTCGACTTGATTTGATGATCTAATTATGTCTATGTTATATTGGCGTTTAATGAAGTACGACTGATATTTTATCCTACCTACATCTGAGCAGTTTCTATCCAAACTACAAGCAGTTCAAAGTTGATTGGTGTTTTTTATAAATATAAGTTAGCGCATATAACTTGTCTCATAAATATCAAGACTCGATCTACTTCCCAAATATGAAAATTTCAAAAAACTGAAATAGACATTCACCTAGTTTGTTTCACGTCCTTGTATGCACCTTTCGGCCATATGATTAAGGCTTCAGAGCTCACTGTTCTACTAGAAATGATAATCAAAGAATAAAATATATTTTTCCAATATCAAAATTACAAGTCATTCTTAAATAAATTAAATTGATAGATACAGTTGCATACCTCGCTCTCTAGTTAATATCACTTTCGTACGAGATTGACAATCGAAAAAGAATTTCTATTGAAATTAGCAATCTTTGGACTTTATTTAGGATCTGGAATTTGAAAATAAATACTCTTAAATCTCTAGAATAATGTTCATTTCAGGATGTTATTATGCTTCGCTTGAAATAGGTAACCTCACTTAATAAGTTATACTGGAAAATATCTGGTCTGTGAGTCAGGCAACAACGAAAAGTGCGATTTACCAGGCTAATATTTCTAATATTGTTATTCTATTCTCTATCCTTTGGAAATACTCTGAACTTGAATTATTTACTTTTGTCTACGATTATTTTCAAAGAAAATATGTAAATAAACACCAGAACCATTTACATATATATAGCATGCGCACAGAAAGTATCATTTTAAGAGAGAAGCAAATACTTTGATAATATTTTGATCTTTTTTTTTTTTTCTTTTTGCTAATAACTGACGACCACTTTTATGGTCCTTACAGTACACAAGTTAAAGTAGAAATAAATAAAAGATGAATAAAGTGAAATCAAGAGAAAAAGTGTAGAAAGAACAAATAAGGATACCGTTGGTAATAAAAACAAAAAGAGATGAGTTACAAATGTTTTATGGATAAGCCTTGCTTTTAGAAAGTTTCTGGGAACTCATATAAAGTGACGACTTCTTCCAGCTCATAGTTGATATTAGAATCATACGAGGGGATGTTTGCGCACCAGGAAGTACATTTCTCAAGAAGTGATGTGTGTTCGACATATCTCTTAGACCGATGAATACCATTTATCCTACTCTCTCCGCGCAACCAATTTTCTCGTATTACATTTAGATTGCCTTGTTCAAATATCAAGAGACCGTCTGTTGTGTCTGCCAACGCGAGCCAATATCGTTCCCAATACTTTTTACATCGGTCTTCGAGTGACAATTCATTAGTAGCGTACATAAAAAAATACGAATTCCAGTGCATACAGTACATAACTCTACGCAAACAACGAGTATAGAATTCATTCAAGTCCTGCTGTTGGTTCACCGTAAAGAGTGGAAAAAACGGGAAAAGCCAAGCAAATACCGGCAATACGTAAGAGTTGAATAGAGCTTTTCTCAGTGCTGTTGATGTGAAGCCTTTCAAACGAAATGAATTGACCATCGCAACTCTTTGACGTACTTTGAGCATTGTTTTCTGTATCATAGCACTAAATCCAAGCTTGGGGGTAAATACATAACCTAAATATTTAATTTCCTTCACCCATTCTATTTTGTTATTTCCGCATTTCAATGCTATATCTGGATAGCCGATCGCTCTAGCAGAAAACAGTGCTTGCGTTTTGTTGTAATTAATCGGCTGTGCTGTTAGCGTGCAATAGTATTTCAAGTCTTTGAAAAAACTTGAGAGTTTTTTTTCAAGTTCAAGACATTGCAATGAATATTTTAACCCGATACCACCACCCATTATCGCCGCAAGGTCACCTGTGAAATGGTGACTTAAACAGCAATTTAGAGTTTCTGTAAGATCGCTATGATAAGTAATAAACAGCAACGGTGTAAATATTGAGCCTTGAGGTCCTCCTTTGCGTATGCGAAACCACTTCGAGCGTTCACCTTTTATTGCAATAAAAGCCCTCCTGTTCATCAACCAATTCTCTATCCAGATCAAGTACTTTCTTGGAATTCCCATTCTTTTCAGCTTTCCAATACATCCCCGAAACCATAATTGATCGAAAGCACTCCGAAAATCCACAAATATCGTTCCCACTGGTGAACTATTTGCCATCAAACTTGAAATATGTTCGAAAAACAACAATACTCTTGTTTGTAGTCTGAATTTTGGACGAAAGCCACTTTGTGTATCTGGAAGAAGACCTCTTCTGTTCACGATGTTCATAAATCTAGTTTGGAACAATTTTTCGTTAACTTTGAGAAAGACGTCGAGTAATGATATAGGACGCGTCAATCCTGGGTTACATATAGGATCTTTTTTTGCTAGAAGTAGCATTCTACTATCTTTCCATCTATCTGGCATCGTTCCTTCAGAGAAAGAATGATTAAATATTTCCACGAGAAGCGACCAGTACGACAATGGGAGAAAATTGAAGGTGAAGTTTGATAAACCATGTGCATCTATTGACTTCTTCTTTTTGCGAGAATTGACGATATCAATAACCTCTTCGGTTGTGCATAATGGAATTTCTTCATCAAAGTTTTCCCATTGAAGATCAGGACTATCAGTATATGGATGTGGTCGAAATATTTCGGATTCACTGAAGAATTCTTCATAATGTTTGCACGCTTCTTCACACATTTTCGGACCGTCCTTGATGACCGTCCCATCGTTGAGCATAAATCCATGTAAGGATGACGACGCAGATTTCATACATTTTTTAGCTCTAGACCAGAACACAATTGATCTTGGTGTTGAACTGTTCAGTTCAGTTACTGTGAGAGAGACATAATTTAATAAGAACACTTTTTTTTTAATATTTTGATCTTTCTAAGACATTCAAGACATTCAAATTTCATTCGGTTAATTTCGGTTCGGCTCGGAAAAAACACGAATCGATCCCAGCACTGTTCTCTACAATATCAATGAAAATCATAATAGAAACTAATCAGCTTCGTTGCTCTTATTAAAGTTATAATACAAATAGTTTTTTGTTGTTCTGATGTTTTATTTCTTCATTCTTACAAAGGAAAATGATGATGAAAAGATATCGAATGATTTCAACTTCTATTGTCATTATTATTGTTTAATAGAGGATAGTATCTCTCGAATCTACATTACAGTTAGATACATTTTCCAAAATCAAAGTTAATTAATAATAAATAAATTTTACATATAATTTGAATAATTCAGTCAAATAGACTAATTTCTTGACGTTGGGGAAGTTAGCACAAGATTCGAGCTTTTCCAGCCCGGATTCGCCTATATGGTTGTGTTGAACTTCATTTTCGTTGTGTTGGATGCAGAATTTTGAGCTGAATCGAATGGTGTAATTTTTAAAGGGGGTTGCCGATCAAAATCTGGCGCTTTACCTGGAAATACTGCTTTTTCTGAAAATCTTATAGAAGTAATTCCAGCCCGGATTCGCTGCTGTAGCTGTGTTGGTTCTGAAAATGGTTGTGTTGAATTCAGAATGAAATTCTACATCGAATGATGCTAAACTTGTATGGGGTCATCGATCGAAAAATTTCTGGTCTCACCCAAGTCTTCCCTC